TGGTATAATTATTTTCTGGTCTATATCACCGGTGCTAAAAACCAATACAGAAATAAAAAATATATATATAAATAACTTGATAATGATTTTAAATAAGGAATTAAATGCCACTGTTTATACGTTTATTTGCCCTCAAATTTTTCCAGTAAGTCTCACTTCATCTACCTTTCATAATACAGCTATTTTCAAATTCTACAGTAATATATTAGCACTTCTATTTTACTACTAAAACAATCTTTGTATTTCTTAAACTAGGTACACAGTACATAATATACTGAATATAACAGGATGGCTCTTAACCACCAGGCTTTGAAGGCAGACTCTCTCTACTCTGCTTCCTAACCCACATGTGACCTCAGGCAAGAAAGGAGCTGACCCTCTGCTCATTGTTTCATAGGGTTGTGGCAAGAATTAAATGCACTGTATGTATATGTAAACTGCTTACAACAGTGCCTGGCACTTAATAAGAACACCATAAACGTCATCTACTTTAATTACATAATTATTATTTTTACGAAAAAAGCATTCCACCTTAGACAACTCACTACAAATCCTGATATTAAAATTTCAATTTACTTTATCAACGAGCTCAAACATTTAGCAAACTTGGGCTTAATATCTTATTAAGGAGCCTCAGTGCTTACGGCATATCTACCCTATTCACAAGCCCAATTTTCTCCCAACTCTGAGTCACTGTTAGTTCCTCTCCTGACTCATCACATAGACAGGTAGACAGTCTGGAATATAATGGGCATACCAAAAGGGATTTCTCAATCTACCTGGATTTATAAGATTTACTAAGTGTAACTTGTCCTACATAATGGTCAGTAAACATGCTGAATAATTATAACTTAAACTGTCTTCACTTAAAAGTGCTTTCTATACATTAAGTGCTCCTTCAAACCACGGAGTGGGTGTCATAACCCAATCTTGACAGGAAAACAACATATCACTTCAGTAAAATCACAGATCCACATTTCTGACTGCTGGCCAAAACAGATTTCTATTTCGCTGATGGCCTGGTGCTTAAGATTTTGCCAAGCAAACTATAGATTAGAGGGTCAGAAGCAATCTCTGAGCCCACAAATCTGATCTTAATTTCTATTCAATTCCATACTTTCACCATTTTTCCTTTTCAGAAGTTATAGGAAAAAATCTAGGGAAATAAATAATGCAAGGTTGGTTAATTCTTAAAAACTCCCCTCCCTAGATGCACAAATACGCAAAAACGCTTCAAATACTGCTCTACAATTATTCACTTTCCATGTGATCTTGAGTCACTCTCTCTAAGCCTCCATTTTCTCCAGAAATGGGGACAAAGAGCACCTGTAACTACCACACGGGACTGCTGTGAGCATTAAGACAGCACATAAAGCACTTTCGCCAGCCACTATGAAAACAGTAAGTTTCAATATATGTTAACTTTTATATTTAAATCAAAACTGCAGCATCATTTCACCTCTACCTATTGAAAGATTACATTTTCTACGGTAAGCATCTCTGCTAATCCATCATGCAAGCCTACTCAACGGCAGTAACTTCACAAGCACTCTGGAAACAGCTGGCCCTGTCTCGGAAGCCCTCCTCAACTATCCCTTTCCTCCTAGAGGTGGGTACCCTGCTCAGGAAATGGGCTGTATTTAACACGGTTCTTACATTTGCTCATACTACTTGAATGCACTGTGTGGGCAAGGCCTGTGTCCTATTCATTTCTGCATCCCCAGAGTGCAGCCCGGCAGTTCTCAACCCTGACTCGCATTAGAATCACGTGGAAACTTATCAAACTATTCACACCTTGGATCCATCCCAGACCCCATTAAATCAGAAGGGGGTCAGGAAGGGAGAGGGCAAGTAATCAGCATGACGGAGCATTTTCGTAAGATCCTCACATGATATTAATGTGCTGCCACAGATAAGAACCACTGCACTCTGACTGTCAAATGTGTGTGAACATGTGTATAAATACATAGGTATAGAAATGAGTCTCAGCTCAAGACCCTCATCCTCAATAGCTTCTCTCAGCCCAATCATCTCTCCCCCTTAAATACACAATATTGCTAATAAACAATTAGCTACATGCTGCATTAAGATGACTTTTAAACTGTTAAATCAGTACTTAAGTTTTCTCGTATAATTATGCCTTATTCTTCTTCCTAGATTAGTCTTGCTCCTTGACAATATACACTGCCTTATTCTGCTTGTCTTCTCCACAGTGCTTATGATAGTGCCTTAAACACAGACATGTAATGAACATTTGATCTAATAAACGTATACAAAAATTACTGGCAGGAAGTATGTCCCACACAAATTAACCAAGTTGGGCTCTTACTCCAAAAAAATAAGAAAAGTAAAAATTTAGAAAAAAGCTTAAAAAATATCTAAATTAGTAAATAAGAACTGAAGTTTAACTCACTAATGAGCATCTGTATATCCGCACTTTTTATTACAGTCAACACATCCAGTATCCCACTCCCATCTACCACTTTCAGTTTCTGACCTGCTTCCTTGCTAACCTACCTGCTAGCTGCTTCTGATATCTTTTGCTGCTGTCAGGTACCTTTAGAACAACTGTATAACACTCCGTGATTAGCAAAATCAGGAACGGCACAATGAATGTGACACAATGATGTTTAATAAATATTTCTTGAAAGAACCAAATGTTTATCAACCAACAAAATAGGCTCTTTGCATACAAGATACATACTAATCTACTATAAACTTGGTTAGGAACACTGCCTGAAAATAAGAGTCTTAATATTATACATAAAAGTCTCCTTTTGAATATTGACAGATTGGTGCTTTTCTGCTTTTACAATTTTCATACTTGAAAATATTGTAAAATACTATATGAATTTTTAAAGCAGGAGCACGAAGTTGTATTACACAAGAAACTCCAGAGCAACTGGCATTACAATGTTGAAACTACTAAGAAAAGTGAATCACACCCAATTCTAAGAAAGTAACAACCTAAAGAAATGAAAATGGTTCACCTGTAAAGTTCTGTTACATGTTTTACCATTATTAAGATAATCTGAAAGACTTAAATTGTTTTTAAAAAACTGAATATATGGGGAGGAGGCACTCAAGTATGCCTGCTAACTAGGGACTGTGCTAAAACGTTACCACTTTCGCTGGATCCTGTGGCAAGAAACAGATACGGCCACCGTTACCACAGAAAGAAAGCAATCCTCAATTCCCTATTCAATAAAAAAGGTTCAAATTCCACAGACAAAAAATGGTACCCTGGGTTGTTTGTTTTTAAGGAAGATTAAATTTAGGAGTTGCCAACACCCAAACGGAAAACATTCCAGAGTATTAGGCTCAATTGTAGTGGGGAGGCATCTACATTCTCGGCACTATGTTCCCTTACCCAAAGCAGGAGTATTAACAAAGGATGTCTCTTAGGATCTCACAAGATATGCCACACTTATTTCCCCCAGTAAACATTATCCTTGTTAAAAAACAAAATCAAAAAAAAGTACTTGAGAAGTAACAATTTTAGCACAAGCAGCCAAACAAAAAATGAAGTTTAACATCTGCCAAGATATTTCCCAAAATAAGACCCCTAACAGATGAACAATGAGGAAAAGATTGAAAATGACAAATTCTTTTATTTGGACCATCAGCTACTTTTAAAAATAAAGTTGAGGAATGTAGCTTTTCCAATGCCTTGTCTTCAGTTTCCCCTCAATCTTCATATTTTTAACTAAAAAAAATCCTAGAAATTTGATTACCACTCTTACGAATTCCTTTTAAAGCAATTTAATGAATAACAGATCTTTTGTGCAAGTAGCAAACCACAGAGCACAGTTTTGCTGGCTGAGAAAAATCTCTCTGCAACACTCATAAAAATACACCCTTCAAAGACAAACACTGACTTCCCAGGTATGAAACTCACATTAAGACTTAAAAATGTGGGTATGTTTGAAATACACCCTAACTTACTCCAATTGCTTTTATGTAAGCCGAAATTAAAGTTAGTAAATCCTTATTAATTATTTACTGGGTGTCAAAGTTGAATAAATTAGAAGGCCAAGAGTAAAAAAAAAAGTTAAATCCTAAAGAGCCAATGAAAAAAAGATGCAACTAGTTTGGGTGAAACAACGTTGCTGAATTAATTCCCCAAACCAGTGAGCTACTATTAAAGCAACCAAAACTGGTTTAGGATTGTTTTGTTGAGGGTAGAGAGAGGTGCGGTAAGCAAAATTGTTTCACCAGTCACTCTAATGGGAAGATGTTGCTGCCTGCAGAAATGTTTTGAAACTGCTGAAGACGCAAAAGGAAAAAAAAAAAAAACCACACACACAAAACCAACTCTACCACAAACGTTCTCCAGAACACACATAGCCAAATACTTAAATGGGAGACCATCTCAGCAAAAACAACTGTAGGGAGCTCCAGCGTTCCTATTGTCCTAAATATCACTCAGAAAAAGTGTGCGTGCGTGTGTTGCAGAGCGCCATTTACAAAGCTAGTTTACACATGAAACAGTGCATCCGCTCATTTGGATAGACTCATCTGGGGTTCAATGAGAGATAAAAAGATAAAGCTGTCCTGGATAGTGCTAAGGCCACGTTTTCCTCACAGGTGCTGTTAAACACTATTACAGAGAAGAGGAGAGAAACAATCTGATAACTTCAGACGGACACGTGGGAAACTAAATAGAGCACGTCGTCAGCACCATCGATCAATTTTTCTAACTGATGAAGCAGGCACAGACGAACAAGTCTAGATGGCCAAGTTCGGGAGCCACCAGCGGTCTTTGCACCACTCAGGAGGAGGATCCTGGGGCTGAGACCTTAGCCAGGAAGCCTAAAAGGCATGTGTCCCACTTTGGGTTTGGGGAACTTCTCCCAGGAAGCATTTGTCGGCAGTAAACCCCTCAGCCCCTGCCCACCAAGCCCGGGGCAAGGATGCGAAGGACCAGCTGGAGCGGGAACGCGCGGCCCGGGCCCGGGCGCTCGGGGAGGAAGCGGCGGCGGCCGCGCCCCCGCGCTCACCTCTGCGGCGGGGATGTTGACCACGCCGGTGGAGCGCCGCTTCTCCCGCAGCTTCCTCTTCTCGATCTGCCCCTTGCCTTTCCTGGCGCTGGGGCCCGAGCTCTTGCCCTTGTCCGGGGCGCCGTCCCGCTCCTCCGGATCGCCCCGGGCCGGCGGGGCCCCCGCGGCGGCGGCGGCGGCAGCGGAGGGGGGCTCGTCCTCGGGGCGCCGCGGGCCGGGGCCCACCCGGGTCAGCGCCGCGGGGCCGCCGGCGCAGTTCACGCCCCCGGGCCCGGAGCCGGCAGGTGCGGCCGCGCCGCCCGCGAGGTTGTTGTTGAGCTCGTTGGCCGCGGCGGCCGCCGAGGTACCCAGAGCCCCAGCCGGGGGCTTCCCGGCCGCGTCGCCGCCGCCGCCGCCGCCGCCCGGGGCGGCCGCGCCCGCGGGGTTCTGCTTGGCGCGCATCTTCTCGCGCTTGGCCTTCCACTCCTCCAGGAAGTCGGTGGTGCTGCCGCCGCCGCCGCTGCCCGCCCGGTAGCCACCGGTCGCCATATTCCCAACGGGGCCGGCCGGCTCTGCCCTGCGGCCGCCGCCGCCTCTTCCTGCCCGCGGCCCGGAGGATGCGAGGGGACGAGCCCGCCGCGGGGGCGGTCGCGGCTCTCCCGGCGGCCGCTCTGCGGGGAAACACAAAAGGGGGCGGGGGAAGGAGGCGTCAGGTCCCCGGCCGGCCCGAGGTCTGCCCCGCCGCCGCGCCCCTCCGAGCCCCCCGACGCGCCCGCTGGTCCCCGCCAGCCGCGACCGCCGAGTCCCCACCCCGCAGAGTTTCTCCGACGCACCTACACGGCGGGCCCGACGGTCGCCGCCCCTAGAGGGGAGGAGAGACGGCCTGACCCCTCCCCCGGCCCGCCCGCCCCATCCCCACCAGAGTCAGCGCCTGCGGCGCTCGGGGGACCAGGGCCAGACCCCGCCACCTGTCGGCCCGTCGCAGCGCCCTCCCCTCGCTCCGGCCCGCGCCGGCCCGGGGTCCCCGTCCCCGCCCCCAGGCCCGGGCGAGGCGCCGAGCCCCTAGCCTGCCCGAGGAGGCGGCCGGACTCCGGAGGACCCCCGCTGTCCCGGGAGCGGAGGGACGGGCGCGCGTGAGCCCGGCGGCCAGGGCAGCCGCTTACCTGGGAGGAGGTGGGGGAAGGCGCGGGGCCGGGAGCGGGCGCCCAGGTGAGCCGCCGCGGCCGCGCGGGACACAGCAGCGCCAGCAGCCTCGGGGCTCGAGCTCGCGGCTCTCCCGGGCTGGGAGGGAGCGAGGGAGGCGAGACGGCGAGAGGGAGGGCGCGCGCGCGCGCGGAGGGGAGCCGAGCGGCGCCGAAGCGCGGGCGGAAAGGGCCGAGGCGGGCGCGAGGGGCGCGGCGCGCGGGAGGGCGTGCCCGCTGCAGCCCCGCCCCCGGCGCTCAGGTGCGCGGCGCCGCCGCCCCCGCCCGCCCCGAACCCGCCCGCCAGCCCGCACATTCCTGCGCTCGCGGCCCCGCGGCCGGTGGCGTGGCGGCGCCTCTGACCCCGGGGCGGGAGCGGCCCTGCGCGCCCTCGGCCCGCGCTTCTTCTCCGCCTCTCGCGGCTCCCGCCACTCTTCCTTTTAAGTACAAGGCACATTCTTGGTGGGGAAGTACCATCCACTTGCGATGATTCAGGGCCAGACTAGCCAGGATGGGAAGACACACGCGCGTCCCTTTTCTCGTCGCTGACCCCTTTTCAGATGCTCTAGGGTGGCAGGCAGGAGAACAGAAAGAATTGAAATAAACCCAGCATCCTCCTTCTAAGAAAAGTCTGTGGTCTTCTGGTGAAAGGGTCGGCTCAGAGGAGGGGCTTAAATGATCAGTGAATTATTACGGGGCTACTATTATCTTAGCCTTGGAGGAGAAAATTTAAAACACTTCCACAGTGTGTTGTATTGCATCCCAATCGTATTTGGAGTTTTCCTCTTAACCCTGTCTCTCCACCTCCTCTTTGCAGACAGTGAATTTAGCAGCAAAGCTCCCTCCCGAAGTTCTAAAGCTGCGCTGATGCTGAGTAGATATGAGCTGGGGCGGTGCTTGTCTGTTTCTCCATCCTTAACACGCCCTAGGGTAAGTCTTACCCAGAGCTGCAAGTCATCTAAGATTTCTGGAGGGGGCTGGGTGGGCTGCCACTGATAGACACCTGAAGGATTGACCCCACTCTGTCCGGGTATGCCGGGCACATCATTGTTGTAGGGCACAAATGTACAAATGCCAGGTCACTGTTTTGTGAAAAGTAGGCGAGCCCTGAGTCACACTCTTACCTAACAAATCTTTCTTCCTACTTAGTATTCCTGTTTCATCCAGGTGGCGCCTGGTGGGCGTGCACTGTGTGCCTGCGACAGGAATGAGAACAGGAGAAAGTGATTCACGTGCTATTTATTTCTTAGAGGGAAAGTAATGCAGTTCTGGTCTTTGGTCTGGTTCTTGGGGTGAACATGTGGGTAACTGGGAGAGAGCTCTGGAAAAATTCTTAGAAGAGTAAAGGCCTTCCTTGGGGATAGATTTAAAAGGGTGAGCCTGGCTGGTACCCACGTGGGAGCGCCACCTGAAAACCCTCAATTCAGACTCAGTGTTTTGTTTTTTGAGTTTTAAGAGGGGAAGGGAGGGTTGGACATTAAAAAGCTTCACAGTAACATGCTTGGAGGGGCTGCAGGAGATAGTGAAAAAAAGGATGTATTCTGCCTGGACACAAACATATTAGTACCAGAAAGATCTTGGTCTTGTTTAAATTCTCTGAAACGCAGCTTTCTTTACTATAAAAATCAGCAATAATGGCATATTATTTTTAAGCTGTTGTAAGAATTGACACTGCATGTTGTGTGCTTGGTTCAAGGAAAGTACTCCGTAAATACAGTCCTTTTTTGAAGAAGAAGAAGATTAGCCCGAGCTAACATCTGCCACCAATCCTCCTCTTTTTGCTGAGGAAGACTGGCTCTGAGCTAACATCCGTGCCCATCTTCCTCTACTTTATATATGGGACGCCTACCAAAGCATGGCTTGCCAAGCAGTTCATACGTTCGCACCTGGGATCTGAACCGGTGAACCCCAGGACTCTGAAACAGAACTGCTGCACCACCAGGCTGGCCCCAAATATAGTCCTTTTATTAATAGGATATCAATTAGTTAGAGTCCAGGGTCGATAAGAAGTGGGAGGTTGCAGGGAGGCAGGCAAAAAGGATAAGGTACTGAATACACAATATAAACTGGAAAATGATAGACTTTGAATGAACTAGGATAACACTGATGCCACATAAATTTATCACTGTGTCTCTTAGACTAGTTTTCTTAGTATTAACAGGCTCTGAGTCAGGAATTTTGGCTACTACTGACTTGTGTGGCTTTGGACAAGTTGCTCAACATTTGTGCCTCTGTTTACTTACATATAAAATGGGGATAATAATACTTCCTGCATTGTGAGTGTTGTGAAAGTGCCTGAGATAAAAGGTAGTATGTGAGTACTAGAGTAGTTATTACTCTATAAAGTGCCCTAGGAACCATGGATGAAAGAGATTATTGAGGTACAAAGCACTTTGTATTATTATCATTTATTATAACTTTTGTCTTTACCTTACCATTCTCAATATTCCCAAAGAGATATTTCACAGCCAGACAGCTTCCAACATTGCACCAAGATATTTATCTGAGTCAGTCCTCAATTGCAAAATGTTTGCATATCATCAATCTTTATGTAGAGCGTTCTGATGAAATAATCCTCAGAGACTCGGAGCTTGGTTTCTCAACTGCAGCACTATTGACATTGGGGACTGGATACTCCTTTGTTTGGAGGGTTGTCCTGTCCATTGTAGGATGTTTAGCAGCATCCTTAGCTTCTACCCCCTCGGTACCAGTAGCTGCCCCCAATTCCAGTTGTGACTATGTCAAATGTTACTTGGGGGCAAAATCCTGCCCAGTTGAGAACCTCTGAATCAGTCTAAAATAACTAATTTTGGTGACCCACTTGCCCTAAATAATAAAGAGAGATATGATTATGCTGACAAAATAAATGAAGAGATTCATTTTAATGTCTCAGAGTGAAATTTATTCTAAATGTTAAGACTTAATGTTTTCCAGGCAATGGATTAGCTATGGTGTGAAATATCCTATTCGTATGTGTTGACATAAATAATAGGATATTGAGAAATAGCCATTTTGCCTTCAATGCAAATATCTCTGTAGCATATCCAATTCACCATCTAAAAGGAGAATAATAGATGTACATAGTTTTAAAAGTTAAATACTTTAGTTCCACAAAGACTATAACGAGAGCCAGCAAGCCCCTTCTCACTCCCAAACCTCCTCCTGGACCTTTGAACTCTTAACTATTTCTGCTAATACAGAGCTTCATATTTAATTTTTAAATGTCCTTATCTACTCTTCTACTTCTTGATTTTTTCCATTTTTAAATGTCCTTTAGTGACTTCCTAATATAGAAGAAAATTTAGCTCTCATACACTAGCTACATATACGCTTTTCTTATTCCTAAACTCCTACTATATTTACATCAAGATTTTTATTCAATAAAACTCAGTGTTCATTGTGTTATGACCATGCACGTGTTGTTCACAGCCGAGCCATGCAGTGTACTGTAATGACTTTTTTTTACCTGTTTTTCCTTGTTGCACAACTATTTCTTTTTCCTGGAGTTCAAGCTTGCCTTGTTTTTTTAATCGTTGGCCTAGTATTTTTCTATAGACCAGTCACAAATTTATACTCCAAGTTTCCTCCTCTCAATGCAGTTAACCATGTCGGGTAATGTCACTTCTGTTGCTCTTTTCCTTGGAGACGTCTCTCCTGCAGCCCTCCATTCCCCTCTCTATCCTGGATTGATTTTAAGGCTCGGGGCTCTCTGGTCATCCTGAGATTATGCTTCCCTCACGTCTTAGGAATCATTTCTTGTGCAGACTCCTCATTTCCTGAATCCCATGTTGTCCTTTTTCTTGTTTTTTCCCCTCATTTTAGTGGAGTGCCTCCTCAGTATATTCTGGAGATAGGATCATACGTTCCTGGAGACCTTGCATTTGGAAAACGTGTTTAATTAATCTCCACACTTAATTCATCGTCTGGTGGGACACAGCACTCTAGGCTAGAAATCATTTTCCTTCATAATTTTGAATGCATCACTATGTTGTTTTCTAGTTTGTGGAGTTCTGTTGAGAAACCCAATGATATTCTGATTCCTTTCTCTCTGGAAGTTTTTGGATCTTCTTACCCAGATCTTCTGAAATGTCTTGAAGATTTGCCCTGATTTGGTCTTTTTCATTATTATGTTAGGCACTCGGTGGGCCCTTTCAATCTGCCATCTGCCTTTCAGTTGGGAAATTTCCTTATCTGATGTCTTTGATAGGTCTTCCTTTCCAGTTTATCTGTTCTCTTTCTGGAACTCCTGTTAAATAAATGTTGGACTTCTGGGAGTTCTCCAGTAAACTTTTAATCTTTTCTCTCCTAGTTTCCATCTCTTTGGCACATTATTCTACTTTCAGTGAAATTTCCGCCACTTTATACGCCAATCTTTCCTTTGAATTTCCTGTTCCTGCCACTATTTTTTTCTGAGAGCTGCTTCTTACTGTCTAAATGTTCTTTTTCCATAGCATCCTGTTCTTAGGTCACAGATCCATCATCTTTTCTCTCCCTAAGGAAATGTCTTTCCCTTGTCTTCTGCTGGTCCTGCACTGTGTTTCTCACCTATATGTTCCTTTTTTGCTTTTTGATTGTTTTAGTCTTCATCTAGAGGATTTCCTCCTCAGTCTGCTGTTCATTCATATTTAAGACTGAAGCCCTGAAAAGCTGACTGGCTGCTCTTCTGTGAAAAAAAGCAGAGCTTGTTGACAGGTGCTTCTCATTTAGGGGGCTGGTGTTTGGCCACAGGCATTTTCTGGAAGCCTCTATGGGGCCTTTCCTTTGGCCAGGTGAGTTTCCCTGAGAGAAAC